TATTCACGTTCAGACAGCTGGTCTGTAGCTGGAAAGGCTGCCAAATAATGTCATTATTCAAGGCTGTGAGAATTTTGTCAAGTGGCCTTCAAACGACAGTGCTCACTGAGGCTGGGGGACGTTGGGCCCAGGGGTGCCTCTGCAGCGCCTGCTGCTCTGAGGACAGACTAGGTCGCATCGCGGTTCCAGCCCACTACTAATGATGGAACCAGCAGCTCAGTACTTGCTAGAGCCTGGAGTGGGAGCCAGAGATGCTGGGGTTTCTTGCGTATTAGATCTTCAGACAAACAAAAATCTTTAAAATGTGCTCACCAGCTAGCCAGTGTTGCTCACTCAACCTGTCCCCTTAGCAGCATTTATAATTGGGAAACTTACCATACTTAGGGTCCTCTCCAGAGCTGACCCCAAGTGCTTTGGGCCCCAAACTAGTCCAGTGTTGATTACTGGTAACAAAATGAAACTGTCACTGGCCAGGAAGACTTGGCTTGAAGGGTGGAGAAGGTGGTCAGAGGTCTGTTTTGTCCCCTGACTGCTCTTTCTCTTTTCCTTCTGTGGTTTCCTATGGATTCCATTTGTTTGGGTTACAGCCTCTAGGGCTGTGGCTCCTGAAATCTCCCTCCAAGGAAGGACACAAGAGTCGCGCTCTGGAAACGGCGGAGAAAAGGATTGGCATCTGTAGGTCTATCTGGTGCTCTCCTGGTGCTCCTTCTCCGAATTCCTTCTCTCTTAAACCAGCCAGCGGTAAACATGTTAGACATGCACAGAATCTTCCAAAGCACAAGCTGCATCAAGCAGGAAACCCTGCCCTGTGGGAAGGCGTGGGGTCCATTCACGTGGTGGCAGAGCCAAAGCAGGCTCTGGCCCAGCCCAGGAGGAAGCCCCCTGCGGGTGGGGGGCTCAGGGTGCAGTGGCAGGAACCCATGTCTAGCCCTGAGCCTGGGCGTCCATGACTCGGCCCTTGCTATCATTTGCAAAGCCCAGGATCACTTACTAGGAAGGAAACTTAATCAGGAAATCTTTGGTGGCTGTGCCCTGCCCTCATTCCGCCGCAGCCTCTCCCTCCCTGGAGTGTGCCCTGGAGGGCAGATGGGAACTGTTCCTTCTTGTCCAGTTGCAGGCATTTTGTGCCGCCTTCTCCCCCTGCAGCAGGCAGCCCTCCCTTAGCCAGGAAAGCCCTTTGGGATCGCTGCTTTTAAAGCCAGACTGAGGATGACGGGGTAGGTATGACTGAGTGCTTGGCAAAGGGTGAGTTCGTGCCCTGGGTTCCTGCTTTTGTTAGCAGCCAGAATACATCCTCCATCTTCCTTGGCTGTTGTAAAATGCCCCAGCCTGCTGCAATGTAGGGATGGGGTGGGGCACACACTTCTCATACAAGGTGTGTCTCTGAGGTGCTCTGTCTTGTGCAAGTGTCCCTGGATGAAGGAGTTACTATGGTAACTATCCCTCTGGCAAACACGCAAGAGTGAACTGAAGATAAGGCTCTTGCTCAACTAGCAGGAGTGTGGATCTGCGCCCCTCCTTGCTATCCCCACTTGACGTAGGGCTGGGGACCCTGCACACACAGGTAAGCTGGCATTTTCCAAAAAGGAAGGTGTCCTGGGTTTTCTGGCTCCTTGGTGAGGCAGGCAACAGAGTGACACGAGCCGAAACACTCCTCAATCCACTGCATACACCTCCCTCAGCCCTCAACAGCCACCTCATTGTCATTCCCAGCTGGACCTAGTCTGGCATCCCCAATTCACGTGGAATTAGCAGTAAGTGAGCACAGTTCTTGCAATTTCCCAAGTTGAGAAGCTCAGGCCATTGGAAGTTTCAGCCACAAAATGAGAGTTCAGGGCAGGGAGTGAGGGTGGGGGGAAGGTCACCAAAGTTGGGGAATTCCTGGAGAACTGATCTTCGATTTCTCAGCCATGGCTGCTACTTACAGATCATCCCATTGCTTTATATCCGTGTGTTACATACTGCCTGTC